GAAGCATAATTCTAAAATAACAAAGATATAATGTACCTCTCCAAAAGAGACAGTTAATAAAGAAGGAGGCTGGAATGGTTCCAGAGGGTTTCATCTATATCAGAAAGCACACCAACCTCCAGAACAACACAAAGCCTCCCTCCTGCCAGGGGCATCAGCAAGTGAGTGAGGTGGGCAAACACATCTGGGGTGGCACACATGTGCCCCTGTAGACAGGCAGACAAGCAGACACATTCAGACTCGCTCTCTGAAGTTCATAAAGTACAGGACTTTGTGCAACATCACGTTTTGTGTAAATATTAAATTCGTATTTAAATGGGATTTCTGAGTTGATAGGTACAGTGGTACACATATGTGGCCATGCAGGCATAAACACAAACATTGAAGCACAAAGTTAAAAGAAAAAAAAATTGAAATACGAATACCAATACGGACAAAGTTAAGTTAAACAGCTAACGACCTCGAGAGATTCAAAACTTCATCCGAAGACTTTCAAAGCACTACAGATTAAAAATATAGTAATCTCTTAACATTACAAAAAACAGCTGAACGTCACTGAGAATGTGCTGCATTTAAATGTTCCGAACCAGGGCTCACCTCCGGATCTCCAACGGCTGAGTCAAACCCTGCTGATACCATGACCAAATCAGGGCTGAACTGTGAAGACAGAGACAATCCCTGAGGCCAAACATTTTTTGTTTTCATGTTGTTCCTTCATCACATGGCTTGTGTCATGTTTTACCATAACTTCCAATGCTTTATTGTGCTTGAATTGACTGCACTTCACTGCATTTGTTCCTGCGTGTTCTCTTTCTTTCTATGTACTGGTGTTCACGATAATTTGGATTACTACAGCACTTAACGGGTAATTAATACAGTATAAAACAGTTAAAAATACAGAGAGCATACAGTACTGACCTCATATGCAATGGGCAGAAGGACATGGAAGAAGACAGAGAGGTAATCAGCATTCTCCATCCCAACCTGCAACCAACACAGCTTTAATAGAACAGCACTGCACCGCACTGCATCAGAGAGTGAAGCAAGTTCACTGCGTATCACACTCAGGCTCTGTGGGTTCTCAATCTCTGAATGTCTCTGCTCTGCTATCAACAGTTCTTTCTAGCTTCTCTTTAGATCCATATGAGACTTTAAACATCCCTGCTACACTTTTATTTTTAACACAGATACATCACATTTTAAATGATTACTAACACAACATTCGATTCTCCTACAACTTCTAGGGACAAAAAAAGCTTTCTGTAAGGTGCACATAAATTATGCTCTGACAACAGTCTTCCTCCTCCTGCTGACTCCTTCCTCAAATGCGCAACAGTTACACGAATTAGGAGGAGGACACCTTCAGGAAAGGACTGGTAATTAGCGATTTGAGACATCTATTCATAAGGCCTATCCTAAAAAACAACAAATCCTTATGTTTTAGAAATAAACTATTGATATTTCTGAAAGAATTGTATCACACTTCACTTCAGCAAGCTCTCTTCTCAGGAAAAAAGACTCGCTTTGCATGGCAGTAACAGCTTTGTGAACATGTCCCTGAAACTAGAAGGCAGGAGCTCTCTGGGACCAGAGGTTAAGGGAAAGTCTCAGGTGGGGGCTGGGGTCTTGCCTTGTTCCAGGGCAGGTTGATGTTGAATCCAGCTCCTTTTCCTGTCCCCACCGTGTCATAGTCTGACTCTGACAGATTGGGCCAAAACTTCTGGTGCTCATAGCGGTGCCAGGAGAAGTACAACACACTGCCAAAACCACAGAAAGACAAGTCTCCTCCTATATACTATTAGGGAAACAGAACTATGCTTAGCAGTATGAACAATTCAGGTTTATAGGCCTCCTTATTTCACTCTACTTATTTTTGAGTTCCATAATCTATGCTAATTTTGTATTTAACTAATAAAATAGTTTTAAAAAGTTCAAGCAGGTAGCTGCGTCAGCATGTGTAGGCAGCAAAGGAACAAGTTAATGTTGATTCCATGCTGAAAAGAAAAGAGATGCAACATTTCGGCTGTGGAGCCTTCTTCAAGTGTGAGGAAGAGAGGAAAACCGGCAGTTGATAAAAGCATAGGAGAGCAAAAGACTGGAGTGGAGAGAAGCAGTGTCAAGGTGTGAAGTCAAAACCTGCTTTATCATCTACTGGTTTTCCTCTCTCCCTCATACCTGAAGAAGGCTCCACAGCTGAAACATTGTGTCTTCTTTCTTTCAGCAATAGTTTAAAGAGACAAGGTTGTAGTGCTTATCACCACCAAAATCCCTAATGTTTCTGAAATAGATGTTAGGAATTAACATTTCAAAACCTGTCATCAGGGAACCAAAAAGGAACATGAGAAGGAAACATTCCCAGTTCCTGATCCCATGCACGAAAACGTCCTGGGCATGGCTACCCCTTGGACAGGACACTCACCTGGGGTCCTCCTCGAACAAGTATTGGATACCCTGTCCATGGTGTATGTCCCAATCCACAATCAGCACTCTGCACAGAATGAAAGGAATAGGTGAGCACATGGAATCCACAGGTCATTTTAGAAATAGAGACTTTCTTTGGCATTTTATTCCCCAGATTGTAAAAGTAAGCTATTGCCCAGTTTGAAAATGTGGAAATCCACTGTGTGTTCTTTAACAAAATGAAGTGTGACAATATGGATAGTTATACTCTCTAAATATTTGGAGCTTTAATTGACTGTTGCTGGAGCTGACATGAAACAAGGTTTATATGATAAAAAGGTAAAGCCCATACTGGGGCCACTGTGACCCACTGGGTCAGAGCTCATCCTGGTTTCGACAGAATTAAGATTTTAGAGGGTTACATGACATTAAGATTTTGTGCTTCTATCAGTTCTTGAAGAGAATAGCAATGTTTTCAAAAAGATGATCCAAGGAAATAAATAATAAATACATTTGAACTTATACCCCTAGGTAAAGGTAAGAGATTTCAGAGGCTATCCATTAAGCAAAAGCGTGTCAAAGCGTGAAAAGAGCGTCAAGATGTGGCTCTTGGTCAGTACCTGTTGATGTTGAAGTTTTTCTTGGCATAGAGCACTGCAATGGCCACATTATTGAAGACACAGAAGCCATTGGCAACACTGCGCTGACTGTGATGTCCTGGAGGTCTGAAAAAGAAAAATAAGCAGAAAGAATGTAGAGAGATGGGGCCAGAGGGTCTGAAAGTGGTATCGGTAGCATGGAACAACACCCACAAAGATTTTAGAGCAATCTCTCCTAATGTATTCAAAAGAGAAACAGTACATTTAGTTTACCTTCAGATATGCATTTAAGTACAGTCAAAGCTGAATCAATCCAAAGTACCTAATAAATATGAAATAAATACTCACGTAAGCTTACAGACAAAAACGGAGCTAGTTTAAAGAGCTGTAGTGATGTTCCAAGGCTGTCTGCCAGGATTCTATACTGTGGATGGAGATGGGATTTTGAAATGTGCAGTGCCCATGAGTAGGGTTGCTCTGAAGTACAGGACTCACCTCACTAGGGCCATACCATTCCTGACCTGCCCAGTCATCACACTGTCCACCAGCTGCAGTACAGCTCCCACAGCCAGCTTGGCACAGTGGTAAATGTTCTGCAATTGAAGGGCATAGGGACAAGTTCAGATTCACAGAACAAAGAGCAAAGAGTCTGAAACACATTCATTCCACACAGTCGCGGTACCCGGCCGTTCCTGTGACTTTGACCATACTGTAAGGCTGCAATCCCTGCTCTTTTGAGCTATCCCAGACCTTAAATAGCATTCATTCACCAACAGCTTCCATCTCTAAATCGCACACATCTTATTACTCGACACACCCTGCCTATATAAGTCCATAACGCTGATGGTGGCGTTGACTTCTCACCGGGTGAAAGTACACATCCCCGTACTGCAAGGTAAAAGTCTTCAGCTCCTCCAGAGTCATGCCAGGGGTCTTTTTCACAGCTTCCAAGTACTCCTTGCTGCAGAGACAGGACGGTGTTAAGCCCGGAAAGAGATCAACTCCAAACCGCCACTGTCGGTGCATCAGCAGTGACAAGCAGCCCAAGGAAGTACTGGTCCTGTGCAATTGTACCAGTGGTGAATGACACCAGGAGTAAATACATCCAAATCTATGTCACTTACCCAGTTATCAAGATCTACAAAAGGATTGAAAAGACACTAACAGGAGGTCTAAATAATCACTTTTATCACTGATACATGATTGTCAATGCAATAAATAATGCCATTTGTGCACTCCATGCTCAATGTGCATGCAAGGAATATTATCCCAGCTATTTCCATCTTTAACTACTTACTATACATCTGATGATTCAGATGTACCAAAAAAGGTACAGTACCTTCCACGATACAACCAAACCGGCACTTTTGTAAATGTCACGTCATATATTAAAAGGAAAATATTCATGCTATTTCTAACTACAGCCTTATAAACGGTTAACGTCGCCTCCATGAAAAGATAAAAAAAGGGGTTGCACCTCTGTTCTATAGACAATTCCATACTCCTACAGCGCAGTATCCCAGATCAGCACACTGGGGTATTAACTTGAAAATTCTGCTCTGGAAGGATGAGAACCACCTATTGGTCCCCAACAACACATGTAGCTGCAAACTACTTTTCCTCTGTGGTCTCCCATTCCAGTTCTGGGCAAATTACCGCAGTGTCTGTACACACCTGTGAGCCAGCAGGATCTCATCCTCGGTGGCCTGGCGGACAGGAACGGGGACACACCTCTGTGCCAGGCCCTGGCTCTGCAGCGCGCTGTGCGAAGCAGTGAGACGCTCTGGGGTCTCAATGCTACATGCTGGGCTAGAAAGAGACATGGAACAAATTGCGTGAAAATATCCAGGGACACCAGTTTTACATGTTGTAACTCCAAACATTGTAGATATCCGTGCTTCCTTTAAACCGCTTTGTGAATGTAATGACTAAGTACTTGTACAGAGTTCTCCACAGACTGGTGTACAACACGGGAAGCTTGCTGTTACACATCGGAAGCATCAGGGAGACCAGATGAACGTCTTGGGTACTATACTATATCAGCATGATTTAGACTTGCATTTCTACCCTATTAGAAAATGAGGATTCAAAGCAACAAAATACAAAGCACACATATGTAGACTAAGGAAATGTGATCTTACACCATGAAAATCTGCCCCTAACAACAAACCTTGTACAGTATTACAATGGGCATGAAGAAGACTACCATGTACTCACTCAACCCAGAGCAGTTTGTAGTTTGTCATTTCTTCATCATAAATTAGTGCAGTCCCCGATGCCATTTCTCACAAACAGCTGTTTAGTAAGATTAAAACAAGCAATGAGAAGACAATAATATTTTTAGCTTAATATTGGTTTTGTACCTTTTTAATGTTGCCCATCTCCAACACTTAACTGCATTTCCTCTTCACATTTATTAACCTGAAGACCAAGTCTGTACTGAGAATGCAATCATTAAGAACGTTGATTATCAGTTTTGCAAAGTCAGTTTCATATTCTTCGCTATCATTATGCAAATTCAAAATCTAATGAAACAGTCCGCACCATGCGAAACTTTACCAAGATTTTCTTATAAAGCGTGCTCAATTACAAAGCACAGAGTACCTTTTGTGAAGAATAACAGATTGTGCTCATAAATTACAAATAAGAATTTAGTTTGTTAAGTGACGTTAAGAAATGTATCTTTATGTTTAATAAATCGAGTCAACCTTTTCAAGGCCTACTAAAAAGGAAACGATCAAAACAGTACTATTAAATACGTCTTGATCCAACAATCACGTTAGTACAGTCACATGACAGAAAGGAGTGCTGTTGTGTTTTCCAACAGTCCGTACCACAGAATGGAGATCATTTTTAAAGACAACTTAAAGCGCTACGTAATGGGTACGCGTAAAGTATTTTGGTGAAAAAGCAGTGTTATGTACTGAAGTCCACACTCAGCTAACTTTCTAACTCAGTTGCCTAATTAAACTGGATATTAAACGTCTATATTTCAAATTCCAACCCAAACCCGTTTTAATAACAAAACAATCTTGATCGTTTTTTTATTTTCTATATTATTTTTTTAACTATCATAACATGCACTTAGTTTTCTACTCGAACCCTAATTTTGTATTAAGAAATAAAATATATCTCTTTATTTACCCAAACCGTTCAATCCTGATTATAACTTTACAACAAAGCTGTGTTCATAGGTCAATTCTTCCCACAGGCAATCGTATAAAACTGAAAGCACCGCCTGCGTAATCAGGGGGAGGAGAGAGCTGACGAGCTTGTCTACGACAGGCCGTGGTAAACTGATTGGCTCGTAATATATTAATAATTTAATTCGACCTGTGTTCATCCGTGAACAGCCCGTAGTTTTGAGTACACAAACCAACATTACAAGATAAGAAAAAAGCTACGAGCGTAGTGTGCTTAAATTACATTACCGTAGCTGTGATTCATAAATCTGAATCAAAACAAACGTTCGGCGACTACCTGCTGATAGATAACGAAATAAAATGACAAAGTGATATGTAAACATATTTTTATTTGCCCCGTAACACGAGAAACCGTGAGTAATAAAGGCCAGACCCCTCGGCTCTTCAGTTTTCGTTACGCGTTACCATGACACCGCCAGCCTCCCTGTGTTGTTGGTGCAGCTCGCCGGATGGTTGAACTAGAGACTTACCAGCAGAGTCGAATATGGAGCCTCTACCCGCCTCTTTTTATGGCAAAATCAACAAGAAAAACCCCGTCATCTCAGCTTTTGACAACGAAATCAAAGAATTCATGGGGTACATGAAGCGAATGAGCACGTCGGTCAACTTCGATTACGAGTCTTACGCCAGAGGGTAAAGTGTCTCGTAACCTCCGGTTTCCAAATGGCTGTTGCTGGGTCAAGTTAAGAAAATATTAGGATAGATATTATTTTAATAACGTGTCCCGTCCTTTTCAGAACTTTGAAACCTATAGTCCTACTCCTCTCCACCGTTTGGTTATGATATACTAGTTTGACACATCTGCCCTGATTGTCCTGGAGAGTTTATCATCCAGTCGCTATATATTTAAATAGAGTAACCTATATTTTTTTCTGGCCCAAAATAGTTATACTGTAAGTTATGGACTGTATTTTGATAATTGTATCCCTTGCCTAAAGGCAAATGGTTCATTTTCCTAATAAAAATTATTACGTTATGCTCTAACATTGCTTATTCTGGTTAGAATTCACAAATTGGTGTTGCATAAAATGTCTTGGGGTGCTCCAGCCCATAAAGATCAATTTGTTTTGACTTCAGATTAAATTTCAATGCCCAGTGTCTTGGGTGAATCTTTCAGCATTACTGTAATTCTGTTTTTATACAGTAAATCCATCTGTGGGTATTCACATTTACTAATTTCAGTGTAAACATCTTTCTTATTTAGCACAATTAAAAAAATGTGACATAAGTAGTATCTGTCTTCTTATTTACTGTAAATCTGGGGAAAGGGTATTAAAATATGTTCCTGTCCACAATATAAAAAGTAAATTGAAAGATTAAAAGCTGGTGTTACTGGAATGACTGTACAACACCAATGCTTTGAGAGAATGTTTTTGCTGCATTTTTTTCAGATCATCTTCCCTATTTCTTCAAGTCTTTTTTTGTTCCTTTGCAACAGCAGTCAGTGTTCAAAAGTAAAATCTATAGAATTTACACTGCAGTTTACATTAGAGGTTATACCATAGCATGAAGTAGTTCAGGTGGGTAGCTGCTTCAGCATGTGTAGGCTGCAAAGGATCAAGTAATAGGTTTATTCCATGCTGAAAAGAAAAGAAAGAAAACACAATGTTTCGGCCGTGGAGCCTTCTTCAGGTGTACCATAGCATGTGTCAGTGTGTTCTATTGTTAATAATTTCATCAGTCTTGTCCTGAAATATCCTTTCTGTTAAAACAAAGTGATTGCAAGAATCTGGGATGAGCGTCCAGTTATTACTTTTACATTTAATGTTTTGTCCTCTCAGTGCATGTTGGACCCTGTAGCTCAGACATCAACAGCTCAAGTCTGGCTTGTATCATTATCCAGCGGTGACAGATATGTACTGTATCATTATCCAGCGGTGACAGATACAGTAGCATTGTCTGCAGCAGCACTGAACCTGACCAAGGACAGCTGGAGCTCTCAAAGTGTCCACCAGGGGGTCCTTGGTTTGCTGGGGATGCCTGTTGGCCCGGTCAGGCAGCTCTGCATTTGCCGTTTGTGAAAAATGACGGCTGGCTTTGGGGCTGCATTTTTTGGTGGAGGTTTGCACATGTGATTCAGCACTCAGAATGCTGAGCGCGTTACAAAGCTGACATCATCTCCATCTGAAATCAGGACGCTGCAGTGCTCTGCCCTGCAGGGAAACCGGGCTTGTCCACTGTGCATGCTCTGACCAGGGTTCAAATCCCTGTAGTCGTCGCCAATGGTACTCATGCCTTCCTTGCCCAACCTTGGAAACCCATGTACTGTACACTGACAAATGGAAGGGCAGAGGTGAAGCAAATAAAATAAAAAAAAAAGCTTATTTCAGTTTTTCAACAATAACAAAAATACTGTTGCTGTCTTATCCTTGTTTGTGTTGATAGGTCCAAGAATGTGTTTGAAATATGGAACAAGTACAAGCCCAGATTGCCCGCCTGTTATTTTGAAGAGAATCTGTTGCTTGTTGCAGATTTTCTGTACCGCATCAAGGTGTGTACTGATGTTCTTTATGTCTTTCTTTCTAAAATGGGAAGTGTTGTTTGAGGAGGATTATCATTTCTAAATGTCTGTCAACATATAGAAAAACTGTAAGGATGACCAGTGTCACATGTTTATTGCTTTTGTGCAAATACTGAATTGTACTGTTGTAGATTTATTGGCTATATACAGGAATAACATTGTAGCTATTACATCCCATTTCAGAGACACAATCAATGTTTACTTTTCCCAAAGCTTCTCCTGTCACAGATACAGGTTTTGTTTTTTTTATCCAAGGACAAGAAATGAGGCACGTTTATTTTCTCTTTGCTTCTAGAATGTAATTTTCACCTTCCACTGGTATTTACATTGAGAATCATTAATTCATGAACATATCACTGGAACATTTGATCACGTTCTGTACATGCTGGCTGCAGTTTGAGTTATATTTCATTCATAATTATTAAATTATTGAGATCCTGCCTTGACATTTTTTCCAGTGTCTGTCAAGCTGTAGGTTTTGGTGGCTTAAATACAGTAGTCTAAATGCTATCTGATGAACTGTGTGCTACTGTGTGTTCTAATGTAAAATTGTACATGTTTGTTTGGGCCACCACAAATAACCTGCAGTGGACTATTGTGATTACTGTTATAATAAAAGGTCAGAGTAAGGGTATTGGTTCATCTTTATCGTTTTTAGGAAGCATAATCTAGTCATTTTTCTTACCGCTTTTAATAAATGCTGGCTTCTGGAAGATTTGGTGAAGAAGCTTGATTTGTGTATTGTCTCTTAAGCTCTACAAGATGGCTCTCTGGCAGGGCTATGGACGATACCTGCAGCAGTTCAGCTCAGTTATCGATAATGACATCACAGATATCAACCAGTTCAAGAACATCTTCTTCCCGCGAGGTTTTGAGGCTGACAACGCAAAACTAACAGTGAGTATTAACTCACTGGGCTTCGGTCATTGTAAATTCTTCAGGATAATCTGGCTCATTTATTTTTTACGTTTATTTGAAGCAGTTCTAGCAAAAGCCTCTGTGGACGCACAAGTCATGTATAAGTCTCAGTTGTTCTTCGGAACTCTTTCATTTTCTAGAGAACTTCAATTTTTCAAGGTATATTTTTGTAATAAAAAAACATTTGAAAATAAAATAGCGGTGAAATAAAAACACAACAATAAGAGAGATCTGGAATTTCAACTGGCATTTTGCTCAAGATCACCATCACCCCCCTGTTTAAAGAAGGGCTTCCAGTTGTGAGTCCTAAATACCCCACCTCTTAATTTCTATTTGTGTTCTTGGATCCTAGTTCTATTGTTCTACTTCTGTAAAGTCCCATCTTTATCTCCTATTCAAAATTGAAGTTGTTTTTCACCTGTCTGTTCATAGACCATTGAATGTACATTATGGTATCATGGCAGCTGGCTGCAGGTTGGTTAAGACTTTGATTAGAACTTTACAGCCATAAGATGACAGACAAGTTTGTCATCTGTGTGTGAATGATTAAGAGACAGCAAAACAGTCACATTGCTTAACTGTCATTAAAACATAATACAGTTTGATGAATTAGGTGGGTGAGTGGGTGAGATAACTTGTATGACATACCAGGCGTGCAGAAAGCAGTGAGCTGTGCTTTGAGACGGTGAGGTGATGTGTGTGCTTGACACATGTTGTGTGCTCAGTTCCGTGCACTGCAGGGCCACTGTCTGTGCAGTTTCCAGCTGGAGAGCGAGAATGAGGGGAGGCTGCAAAGTCAGGCGTCAGTCCAGAAGCTCCTGGACATCCTGGCTTTCCTGAGGCTCATGATGCAAGCAGTGCTGTCGCACGAGCGCCTCTGCTGGATACTCTACAACGGTACCTCACACTCCACACAGACACAGTTGTTCACCAGGGCTCTTGAGACTGGCTGACACTGTTGACACCCAGTCATATAGCCTCACTGTTACTTATGTAGTGTCTACCTACTAAATTATCTTATGTCTGTACTCTTGTTAAAGTACGAATAAGTTTGCCCTTGTCAGTTGTATAAGTAGCTTATTTAAAGAAATAGATATATTTGATGACTTAATGAGACAATATTTAGCTGAATTAACTGTCAATCAAATGTTACTGTGCAGTAACTGAAAACAAACTATACCTTTTGCCAGGTTCTCTTCACATCTACACCATTTCCAGACATCTGATGGCAATGGGTCACTCTGCACAGGTACTGCACCCTTGATCTGTGTTTCATGGAAAGGTTATTTTACTCATAATCATATTTGCAGATTTTGCTCTCATTGTTTTGAAAACGTCAATTGTGTTAAAGGGGGTTATTAGAACAAAATATATAACTTCTTTTTTTCTAAGTATTGCATAGTAGTGTTTTTGTAAAAACATGTCCTTGTTCATTTAATGTTTACCATCTCATTATTGCCACGATGGTGGTTAGAGAATGTTAAATGCCTGTGATCAATGAAAGTCACGTCAGTATTACTGTAATTACAAAAGTGCATTACTTTGCAATGGCTGTGCCATGAAATCTTTTTCATTATACTAACCTTGATTTTCCCAGGCTCTGGAGTACCTGCTATGGGCCAGTGTGTGCATGGAGATGACAGTGCCCCTGCTTACAGTGAAGTACCTTCCCTGGAGGGCCACTCTGTACGCTGCAGTGTGCCAGTGCTACTATGACTGCCAAGCAGGGCTACAGGCTGAGGTGAGACATGTCTGGTGCAACTTAGCCGCATGTAGTGGGGTGTGTTGCAGGGCAGTAGCTCAGTTTGTGGTTTCAATTGGCCGTAGGAAATGTAAAACAATGACAGATCTAAAGAGTGTTGGTTGTGATTTCATTGCATTTTCATTGCATTACCCTGTTTATAATATTCTATACATAAGAATAATAAGTGCTTCTTTCCCAGTTCTATACTAGCTGCTAGTTGTACTAATTTGTTATTTTGACTTCATTGATCAGACATTGTTTGAAACATGCATGTTGTACCTCACTCCAGATTGCCTTAACATCTTACTTTTTGCAAAGTTATCAGAACAAGCTCTTCTTTTCTGCCTTATGCAACTTAACCACTGAGAGAGAATGAGACAGAGAGCCGCTTTCTTTAACTCTTCATTATTGAAGAGATGTAGTGTGGTTTAAGCTGAGGTTAACTGAAGATCCTGCACTGTCAAAGACTAAGTTGTCACCCTGAGCCTATGGTTGTCCTGCCCATGGTGCCGAAGTTCTCTGTGGTTTGGTTAAAAAGATGTCTTTCTGATAATAACGTACCTAATCATTTCTTTCTGGAAATGTCTTCTAAAGAAGACAGGGTTGACATTTCTGTGAAAGATCATTTACAGTTCTCTCTCATTTTATCTCAATCAATCTCCAAAGAACTTACTTAACTCATAATAGGAATCCGACTATCCATTGTCACCTTCTTTCCTGCAGCCAGATTAACTTTAGCATACTTATTGTTCCATATTTTAGCTCTTAGTTTGATTTACAAGGAAGATTTGATTGTAATATGCTAAAAAACCTTCTTTCCCTTCATCTCTTCATTCATGTTTAGTTCTTTTTAAAGATAATCTGAGCAGCATTGTCAACACACATGCACCCATTATGTCAATGCTAGGTATGATAGGTTAACACTTAACAGAAATGCATATCCATTTCAGTTTGATGTAGTCAAGATTAAGAGTCCCTTCAATTTTCCAGTGCACTCAGTTACTGAAACAGAAGAATCAACCAAAGAGTGATTATGTTGACTACCATCCACACTTAATTTATGCAATTCAATAAAATAATTAAAAATCTTCCCTTAGTAATGTTCTGATAAAGTAAGCCAGAGATTCATCAAGTAATCAAGTTGTAGTTAAGGCGTCTTGTTGGATAGTGTTTTAACTTTCAAAAATAAATTACAAGTTAGAGTCAAAGTCTAGGTTGCCTTTACATCATCAAAAAGTTGTTTTCTAGTTCTCTTTGTTCTTCCACACTAATGTAGTTCATATGTCCTTGCACTCAGCCTTGGACTGTGGTAAGTCCAGGTAATAGACAAATGTTCCAGTGGTTTTAATTAATTTAAAGATCCTTAAATGGGGGAAAAAAAATCTTTCCAACTAGAGTTTTATTTTTGCAGTTCTCTGTACCATCCTTCAATTCATGATGTTGGATCTTTTTCAAACTTCACCTCCCAAGACAGTGGCTGTCACTTTCATTTGCCTTTTCCAAAGGTGAAACAACATATACGGCAAGCCACACATAACCATGTTTCAATATAAGACTTCTCTCCGCTCTATAAATACACATTTTCTGCCTGGCACTTGAAATTATTAACCCTCTCACAACCTGTTGTGTTATTTTTTCCCTTTTCTTTCTTTCACTGGTTTATGCTCATCGTTGTAAATGCGAATCTGTTCTCTAGTGACTTATCTACAGAGTATCATTCTTTTTCTTGTAGGTGTTTGCACGGCGAGCCTTGGGCAAGGTCAGCGAGTTGAGCCAGCTGCAGGAGATGAGTGTGTCGCCACAGAGCCCTGAGACGCAGAGATCTTTCCGGGAAGCCACTGTCAAGGTCTGGAGCTGTAGAGACTGAATTCTTTTGAACTTTTCAAAAAACTATTATGGGATACAGGGAGACACTATTAATTTAAACAATTACTATTTTTGGTTCTGTTTCATTCTAAATTGGGAATGATAATGAGATATAGAATTTGTTAAAGGTTTTAGTCAGAAATGCCTCTACTTGTTACTTTAGACTTAAACAGATGCACAGAAGCATCGTGGCAGAACTGGAAACATCACAGCTTACTTATAATCTGTATGTTAAGGAGAGTTGGTTATTGTGGCGCTTGGAGAAAGTGGACTAAATAGTCTTCTGTGTTAAAAGTCATGCATAAAATTGCAGGAACTTTCTGTATAATGCTGCTGTCCTTACAGTGCACAAATTAAGCAAAAATTATAGCTGCTTGCAAAAGTTTATTTTTTTAATTCGTGCACTCATACCACATGGAGAATAAGAACCATCATTGAAACTGATTCTTGTTATTGGAGGACATGTGCTGCTCTTCTTTAAGGGTGGCTCTTCATCTTCGATGCTGTAGGTGGCAGTGATGTTGTTTAAAAGAGCAGTCTATGAACCCCGAAGGAAACCCAAGGGGCTTTTCCGCCCCAAGCTGAAGAGTAACCTGAAGGAGATACAGAATGTGAGTATACTTCACCCCCCAGCACAACTCCAAATGCTAAATATTGAAATATTACTTTGCAGATTTAATATACATTACATTTGTAGAGGGTTTTAATGTAAATTTGATCATCATTTGCTATGCAATAAATCAGTAATTAGTAAGAATTCCTCTCATTTGTTCTCTTAATTCAGAATAACAGCAGTGGAGAATTTTTTTTTAATTGAGCATAATATAATAAAACGTAATTTCTCAGAAAACTTATTGAGCATTGAACAGAAAAATAAATTGAGCAGAAAGTGTCAAATAAAACGTCTCACTGATCTCCTTGATTCTTTATCTCATCTATTTCTTTCTTTTTCTCTTCGATGTTGTCTGTTTTATGATTTTTGCCTCAATCCTCTGAACTACAATATGCATATTAAACCACTTTTAAATGAGAGGAGGTTAGTCGTTTCATCTAGCCCATTTGTAATCAGTCTTATGTTCTTAAGTTGCAAGCTCAGTGTTTCCAATGTCATATTTATAGTTTGTTTTTGCTGCCTGCATACCGCACCTTGCAGCTTCACTAAATTAACTGTTGTGTGCTGGGTGTTTGGCTAGTCTTGGATTTAGTTTAATTTATTTGAATGTATTTTGCAGCTTTCACAGTTTTCAGTGATTATCCTAGTTTTGTGTGATCTCTTAACTTGAAGAATTAGGAAAAGCAGTGGCCCTAGTACAGATCCCTGTGGTACTCCATTAAATCTCTGAATTTGCATTGCTTTTCTTTTAACTCAGTAAAATTCTTTATACAGTGTTTTTTTGTGTTTTGTTCTCTCTCACAAGTTGCCATGGCCTCGAACACCCTCAGAGCGGTTGTTGGTGGAGCTGTTCGAAGGCAGTGCAGCACAGTTCCTGGCACTGTTGGAGGCACTAGGGGACAGTACGCGCCGGCCGCTGCAGACGGGCCTTCCAGAAGAGCCTGAACTGCAGGAGGTGGCTCTTGAGCTGCTGTTTGCTGGAATTAGCATCTTGGCTGGTACAGTGCACCACACACATACAGTACAGCACGCATCATATACCAGTTAATCTACTCATGATACGTCATTTATATAGTAGGTAGATTGCACTCACAGATGTTTACCCATACCCATAACACACTTGCACACTTAAACAGAAAGGCAACCACTCCAGGGACTATGCACTACTGCATCTCTGAACACTAAAAGTCCCTGTGGTGTTTAAACTTGTCTCTCCGTGGCTGTGCAGGAGGAGGAGGAGGAGGATCAGCTGACAGGGGGGAACAGGACATGAGCCCGCCACCGCCAATCAGTGGGATCAGACATTCCTGCTCTCTCCTGAAGCTAACTGCATCTGGTACGTCTCTCTCGTCCTCTGTCCATCTCGTTGACTCTTCTCTTTTACAAATCGGCTTGAAGCTGGAGTTCACAAGTGGTGTTTAACTACCAATTTGCTGCCAATAGGTTTAATGTCCTCTTTAGTTGTGCATTATTCAAACCATTCATGAAGCTTTTCTTCTAGGGTTAATAGTACAATTAGAGTTTCAAACAAACTGAGTCTTTTATGAATGAAGATATCTCTTAAGTTATATAAAAGATGAATACATTTTTAAATTCAGTGCTGGTAATGTTTTTTCTGTGTATTGTTGGGTGCAGGTGAAAATGGGGTGTCTGTTGAAGGGGCTGTCAAGTTTGTAAAGCTGCTGTTCCGCTATGAGCAGTGGGAGATGTTCATCTCCCTTGCCAGCTTAATGATTCCACTGCTGCAGGTGAGCAGATTTATAACCTACAGCCACACCACTGCCAAATCGTTGGAGGTCTTGAACACTGGAACTTTTTTTACTTTTTGCCTTTTTACCACTAAATTATAGTGGACTTTACTTCTGCTGTTCATACCAATAAGCACAGATGACATGAGTAGTTCAAAAGCTGCTTAGGAAAAACATAATTTAAATATATCTGCTGGTGCCTCATTCATATTTTGTCACCATTATTTAAAGACCTCCTACAAAGACACAGTATTGTAACACCTGCCTGGGGTCCTGCCTCATGTTTCCCCTGTCATTTACTCCTGCCACTGTCTCTTCGCTTTGTCAGAGTCTTGATGCCCCCATGTGGTTCAAAGAAGAACTGGATTTGAAGTTGCTGGTTGCCATGGAGCCTCTAATAACAGGACAAAAGTACAAATATACCACGAAAGAGAGCAATGTGGTGGGAGAAGGAGGGCAGGGTGAGCAAGAATTAACTATTGCATCTGTCCTTACTTAAGCTCCCTTCACATTGCAGACCTTTTCGACTATATGAACAGTTACAACTGAAGAGAGGCAAGGAGGTTTGAATAACATCTTGGTTTGAGTCAGAGTAATTGACTATGATCATGAAACCCTTCTCAAATTGTGACTGGATGTGTTTCTCAGGTAGTATCAACACCTTCTCAGTATCCCAGTATGTAACAAAGTGTTTTGTTTTCTGTTGCATGAGCAGAGAGAGACAAGTCTTCAGGACCAGTGGTGATGTCTGATGACCTCCTAGCCCTGGCAGAGACTCTATATACCTGTGTCTGTGTCCAGGCAAAGGTCAGTGCTGTGAGACAAATCGGTTATATTTTTCACTGTTCCATAGTCAAGGCAAAGTCAATTTGGTAGGCTCTCAGTAAATTGCTTCAGCTGCAGGGTGTACTTTTTGGTATAGGATGCAGCCTCGGCTGGTTTCCTTACCTTTTATGAAAATTGCATAGAATTCCAATGGAACAAGTAATAGGTTTATTCCATGCTGAACAGAGAAGAATGAAAACACAACATTTCAGCTGTGGAGCCTTCTTCACCTGAACCGTTTTGTTTTCTTTCTTCTCTTTTCAGTATGGAATAAACCTATTACTTGTTCCTTTGCAGCCTACGCATGCTGACGCAGCTACCCACCTGAAATAGAATTCTAATGCCCACCCAAAGAACCTGTCACTTTTATATGTTCACGATATGTATTGTTATTGTTATGTCGATTTGATTGGTATATTTGGCACATCACAGATAATGCCAGTAAACAGGCATGTTGGGTTTATTTTGTTTTGTGTGGTCCTTGTTGCCTACTGTGTTTTTTGACAGGGCATGGCACCAGACCTGGACCTGACGCTGGATATTGTGCTGTTTCTGTGGATGAAGTGCAAAACTGTGTTCCAGAGAGTCCAGACAGGACACTCTGACCCCATCCGCAGTCTGTACAAGCTCGACAACTGCGACAAGGTGTGGAGTTTACACCTACACCTTACACTGTAACTGGAGATTTTGTTTAAAAGATGCACATAATTGTTTTACTGGTTTGTGTGGCTTTAGAGCCCTCAATACGTGTTACAAGGTTATTGGATAGATGCGTTTACATTTTGAAACTAATGTCTTGACAGTTTAAATATAAGGCAGAATAGGTGTGTATGATATAATCATTTTAAATCAAAACTCTTCTACTAACCCCCAGCCCCTTAAGGATAATTCTTTTTCAAAGAACACTGTCTAATGTATGTTTTATTATTCCAGTTTTACAGTTTCTCTTGGTGTATGTACTGAGCAAAGTTTGATTTATGTCTAGATCCCAGCACTAGAGTAAGACTTTTTTACTTCTCCAGGCATTTGACTTATTAGTGGAAGGGACTTGATTGAGATCTGAGATCATTTCATAACACTACCCCCATCTCTGGTTGTGCAGTGGGTGCGGCTCCTGTGGTTGGTCAGCGAGGCAGCTCACAGCTGTGGTTTGGCACAGACTGACCCTGCAGTCATGGCAGAGCTGTCCCTGAGACTGGCCGTGGCGTTGGAGAGCAGCGCAGACTCCACGCTCAAGTCAGGGAGGAAAGCAGGTACAGTGAGACTGATGCCACACTGTGCTTTTTACATCTTACACAGATGGACTGCATTGCAGTAAAAACCAGCCTGATCCTGTGGTAGAATTGTTCTGGAGGTGGTCCTAGATAATCTGATGCTCCTGTTCAAGACCAAGTTCTTTTCTTGTGTTATATAATTTATATAAAAGCTCTCTTCCTAATCTATTTCCCCCTTTGCATCCATTACTTAACTGATTAGAAGAGGTATATGTACCACATCTCTCTTTAACCTAATGAGATTTTTACCACTGGCATGACGTTGTGGGCAGATTGGACTGAATCATATGGAACGCTGTCACATGAGCGCACTGCACTGTAAAGTGTAGGTCAGCATGTATTCCATTGACAGCAGGTGTGTCCTTTCTGTTCCTTTAGGAAGAGCCCAGGACAGTAGCGCTGGTCCTCCGCCTGACCCCACCGATGTACTTAGCATTCTGAAGGTAGATTGCTCACAGTTTTGGCTTTCAGTCTTTCTAAAAGTAGAAGTGTTAATTTAAGATAAATGCGTTGTAAATTATCATTGGAACAAATAAAAGGTTTATTCCATGCTGAAAAGAGAAGAAAGGAAACACAACTTTTCGGCTGTGAGGACTTTCTGCATTTATCATTGCTGAGATTGTGACGTTTTCTTGTTTTCACAACCTGCACTGCTGACCAGTCCAGAGTATTGATGATCCCTTTGTGTCTGTCACAGAGGACCCCAGTGGAGCAGCTCCAAGTGGCCTACGATCTTCTGGAGAGGGCTGTGGAGAGTGTCGCCTGGGGCAGAGCAGTGTCCCCTCCTGCTGGGGCCGTGGGCGTTGCCGACACTACGCAGCTGCAGGTCAGGACAGATCTGGTGCTGTTGGACGTCAGCACACCTGCGGGCACATGTGCACGCTGCACATTTTCACTTGTGCACCTTTTGGCATCGCTACTTTACAGCCAAAAGGAAAGGAAATAGTCCTGGTTATCTTAAATAAGCAAATTTACTTACGTTATAAAAGCAAACATTTTACTTATGCTAAAAACATTTACAGTACTATTACTTGAACTTAAACGTTTGCTATAGTATTAAAATCTTAAATTATTGGGAAAATTCATCCATTTATTTTAGTTTTCCAAATGCCATAATGACCTGTGGACATTCTATATCATTTGGCCTTTCTCCTCCATGTTGACTGTCAGTGTATGAGGTCCACAGTCAAGGAAGTGTCAGATGGCCACAGCAGCTCATTTAGGACAGTCTGCAGCCCAGACATACTACAGCCTTTCACCATGGACCTGCACCTGGAACTTCTCAGTGTACAGCACCGTATTGCCATTAAGCTCATCATCATCTCATCTGGTCAGTATGGCCTTCACTGTATAATAACATTAATAATCAAGTGAGTATGTTCTAGGGTAAGCCAGTCATCGACATTCCAGTGCCTTGCTCATTGTGCACTCTTCTTTCTGTCTCAGTTTAATAACTGAGGCCAGTATTCTTATTTGATGAACACAGAGAGGGTAAGTCTCTTCTCTTATTTTGTGTGAGCTGAATTCTTCTGTCTCATCAGCACTGTTTTTGACTATGCTTTTTCTTCACTGCATCATGGCAGAATTACTCACACAGTTCCCTGTCAGTCTTTTATCAGTTTCTTTAGTTCTCCCTGAGTACACATTTTTTCTTCCTGATTTGCAGTTCATTTCTGCACTATAATAACAAAACAGCATATCAGCTATTTTTACCACAAAACCAAAACAATTTTCAACTGTTCTGACCTTATCATAGAACACAACAGAGTATTTCTAAAAAATCACATTCCCGATACTACAAGAATGAATAAAACAGATGTTTGCACAAAGGTTAGTCTCACAAGGTCTTCCTTTCACCTCCAGATCTCCAGCATGTGGATAATAAGAGCATCAAGTCAGTGCGGTTATCTGTAAATGTGGAGCACCCACATCAGACTAACAGTACTGTAACAGGTAAGACACAAACTGGTGTTTTACTATTAGCAGAGATTATGTACAGTATATCCGTCAATAATGGGCAATATAAAAATGTTATTATATTTCAACTATTTTACAGCTAATATGCAATGTATTTCATAATATCCCTTCATGTTGATCAAGGTTAATTAAGACAAGACAATGTAGATTAATGTGACATCCTTAAATGCAGTCCCCTTCCAGTCGTCCGCCAAGTTTGGGTCAGGCTTTGATACTGACAATAAGCTGAATTGGTATCATAAAGAAAGCAGTGTAAAGAGGACAATTATTCATTGCAGCAAAACCAATCCCAGAGAAAAACTGACATTATGGGAGAAAACGACATTACAAAAGACAGATGTATTTGATTAATTTGTTTAATCATTATACAGTTTTTGTTTCTTAGCAAACATCACATAGAAGATACAATTCTAAGCACATTATTTCAAAATCTTAATTGTACAAAGCATTTCAGGAGGCTAGTAATATTGATAAGCTATAATAATACAAACTATAATAATATAGCTAAGGTCTAAACACAAACAGGATTGCAAAATTCAGTCTTGTAGCAATTGTTTGTTGGGATTTGGATGAAGTGCACGAAGGTCATACATTACAGTATTATTTTTTTAGAAGTCAGAGATTTGTATAGCTTATACACCTTGAGTGTGGAAATTTTCTCAAATCCTCCTTATTTAATGATCTAAACGAGAATAAGATTACATCTTTACTGCATAGTTCTCATGCTTCCATAATCTGATTCATAGCCTGCACATTAGTCTCATGGTTTTAAATGTAGTTTTTCATGGACAGGGATTTGAATATCACGATTTAACTTACACTGAAAACACAAGATGGCAGTGATTTTCTTCTAAAAAAAAACACCAACAAATTAAGCCTTATTCACAACGTCTTCACTAAATTCCAGGTTTGCCAATTTTTTATAATCTGTGGCAGATCCTCGTTATAGTTTATCATGGTAAATGCCTCCCACTTACTGTACTTGTGAAGAAGTTACAGTATTGTTTAATATTTTAACATATTATTGTTATGTATTATAAATACACATACATGTATTATTCTCTGTTTACAATGATTATCATACATCATGGTGACTCTGCTGATGGTGTCTGTCAAATCCTGCAGAACCTACACTGCTTGAGAAAATAAAGAAGAACAAGGTGTGCAGGGCTCTCTTCTTGATGCAGAAGGCCTTGTGCTCCTCAGGAAAAGAGCAAACCAGCTCTGCAAACAAGAAGCTCCTGGAGGTCAGAAAAAATCAGCCTTGTCTTCTGTCTCAGCTTAGTTCATTTTACACATGCGCTGTTACCTGGGACCCTTTGAAATGTGCAAAACGGGAGGTTTCCACTGATAGAAGAAAGAGGAAACAATATACAGAATATACAATATACAGTATATCCGTCCATGAAGTGGAAGAGAAAGATCAACTTGGAAACTGTGCTCCAAAGAGGAATTTAGTCCAGTCCCTTTGAGAGTCTTTCAGCTCTGTGTTCCCATTTTGTGTGTATTTCAGGAAGCTGTGTCTATGTTGGAGAAGGTAGACATAGAGGAGAAGAGGCTGCTCATTGAGAACAGTGTACAGAAGGGGAGGAAGGAATGGAGGAATGGGGTCCCGCCAGCCCCCATTCTGTTATCACGAACGTATACCTCCATGACCTTCATGCCCGCGCCCTACAGCCCAGCCCAGCAGGTACCGGAGGGAGGGAAGGCTGACCCATTCCTCGTCATGCTCTGTCCCCCTGTCTTTGATGCCCAGCACCAGCTCCCTGTCCTGCTGTTTAGTTGATTGGAAGAGGAAAGGAATGCCAGTTCAAGATTAATTTAAAGACATGTATTAGAGGAAAATCAGACAAATGTATGTGTAAAAAGTTGCTTTAATTCTCCCTCCTGCAACAGCATGAACTGTGGAAGGAACCTGAATGGACAGAGGTTTTGGTGCCAATAGGGTTCTTAAGTAAAGCTGGGATTTGAATCTGCATGTCTATATTTCATGAATCCAAATCTTTAACTTAAGTGGACTTGCAATTGCACATTTGTAGTTTTAACTATTAGCCGTGCTGTTTATGTGATCAAGTGTGCCGTTCCCCTCCTCCAAGGTGTGTTGGTACCTCATCTTCGGCCGAACTTCAACAGGGAGCAATCTGAAGGCACGACTGAGTGACTGCCATCTACCAGGCACAGGAGAGCAGGTCAGGACCAGCATGGTGCTGCTTTCGTTTCTCATTCTCTCTGTCCCTTCATTTCATCCCTTCTTTGTACATGGCGCCTTTGCTCTGACAATCAGACTGGAGGTGATGCAAAAACATTTATGATCAAAACTACATTTTGGTAACTTGATCACACTGTTATGTAAATTATTATAAGAAATAAAACTGCATAAAAACAGCATAAATAGGATTGTATATTTGTGCACTAATGTATTTTATATGGGAAAACCCAAGTTGAAATCTAACTGAACAGATTATTTTTGATTTTAATAACATAAAAGTGGGCTTTCAGGTTTCAGAGACACTTAAAAAGTATATTTCTAAAAGTCAATTAAGGTGATTAAATTACAGTGTATTTCATTTTAGATAGAATGAAGACAGATGGTTTAATTTTCCCCCTGAAAATAGCTCATTCCACTGATTTGCCCTTGTCTGTCAGGTCCCTGCTGGAGGGGAGTGTGTGCTGAGAGTACAAGGGCTGGAGCCCAATGAAAAGTACATCTTCGCTGTGGCTGCATATGATGCCAGTGGAAAAATGATTGGAGATGCCATTGGAGAGAGCACTAGGCCTGTGTTAGCATCCCCTCCCCTCCCCCTGCTTACAGCTTGGGCACACCTGGCACAGGTACAGAAACATGACTTAAGCAATCTAATTATCCCTCCGCACACTGATTCCTGAGTCACTAAGTCAGAAGGTCATCGAGTGGTCAGCACTGAGAATGTGGTCTTGACCAAAGCTGTATCGGGTTTTGTAAGATCTTTATTTTATATATTTTTTAATACATGTAAAACTGTGTCACGTGTAGACTGCACAATTCTGTCATCTAATCACTGAAACCATGTGTATTTGTGCCATCTTAAACAGGACTTATTTAAAACTAAGCGTTTTATTGCTGAGAAAGTGGTGCTGGCAGTTGTGATTAGTATTAGCATGATAAGCTGTAAAAAGCTTCTTTTCCCATTCCATAAATATAAGTCAAAACTGTTGTTTCAGAGTAATTTCTTATAGGTGTATTTAGATGTTGTCATGCCTTACAGTCTGTGGTATGTTGTGTGTATTGTAGGCAGCTTATGAGACTGGGCACTACCCTCTCTCTGTGAAGGCCTCCGGAGTGCTGTGGAAGCACTTCACACAGACCACCAGCCCTGAGGCAAAGGGACTTCCAGAGCCTGGGGCCGGCGCACAGCAGCCCACCCAGACCAGGTGTGGGAATTATACTCAGCATGTCCACTTTCCTGTTTTCGCTGAGTTTTAATGAGTCAAGTGAAGGAGAGTGTTTTGTTTCAAACAAAAGCTGTGCCTGCCCATTTCTCTTCCAGTTGTGTGCTGTGTGCTTAACCACGGCCTTCCTGTCCTGTGTCAGCTGCCCCGTTTCACTTCTCGTCCATGTCTCGGTTTTACAGGGCACCGCTTTGTGTAAGGTTGTCTCCCTTCGCACACTGGTTAGTTGTGTGCTTCTGCTGAAGTTGTGTGCAGTTTTTCCCAGTGTTGGTGAGAAAGAATGAACAGTCCACACTCCCTGTTTTTAGATCTGCCTCAGTGCTGACCTCTTTACCTGCAGGTTGGTCTCGGAGGCACTGACCCAGGCCTCCCCTCTCCTGCTCCAGCTCTTCCTCAGCACCATCTTCATGCAGACGGACATCCGTGTCCATGAAGGGAAGCTCTTCTGTGACTCACTGTGTGATGGGGGCCCACTAATTTGGGGACAGGTACAGGGGGTGAAGGGGCTGGCTGCAGGCAGGGATTAGGTCAGGTTTTCAAATTGATTGCACATTGCAAGGAGAACTGTTTTGAGCTATGATTTGGTGTGACCTTTAAAGGGGCATTTGGATTTCTATTGTCTTCTCAAATTAAACAACGTATTCCTATAGTAAAGTATAAAGCCTTTTCCAAGTCTTGTCCCTTGATCTCTGCAATGTGGAGTAGTAGTCAGGTCTTTCTGTTCTTACAAGTACTGCACTTGTCTGAGGCATTTATAGTATGGCATTACTGATATACCTCTGACTGTGATATAAACTATGGTTCAAAATACAAAATGTACTGTTGCCTTCTGTATATGTACTCATTTACATTAGCGCTGATTCTGTGATGTAACTATATCAATATCTGTTCTTAATCTTAATTGCTTAATCTGTAGAAATAAGTAGTACTCGGTACTGTTCTGTTATGTATGCTCCTGGTGTACTGTTGCTGTGGTTGCTTATTTAAACCCATGAATATAAGAGAATATAGATAGAATTTAACTATTGTTTTTTTTTGCCATTTCTGTGTCGCTGGCAGGTGGCTCGGCTGGCAGAGTGTGAGCGAATGCTGGTTGCGCTGGATTTGGCCTTGTGGTTGAACGACAGCAGCGTCGCCCTACAGGCTGTTGTGGAATGTTATGGATTGCTGGCCCCTATCATCTACCACAGGATCCCATCTGATAGTGTTGTTGAGGTACAGTACAGCATCTTCATAGCTCCGTTTACAGATACAGGCCTTGAACCGTCGTGTATGACGCAGCTAATTGACATACTGGAGCATGGAGGTAAAAACGCAATAAATTAATATTTTTAGTTCACACATAATCGCACAAAACTGACTGCTTGAAAAAAAAAAGAAGAAAAAAATGGTGTATATGAAAACATATGGTCCCTATGAAAACAGCTAAAGCTTTAATAAAAATTTTTAGAATAAATATCTTATTTGTTTGTAACAGACTCTTCTTCCTTGATACTGTAAGAAAAAAATAATTTTCTTTAGAAGCGACCCTAACCTCCTCTTAAATGCAGTAGCCTGGGACAAATCTTCGCGTGAAGCTTTCATAACTCTGCATGATTGTATTGGCCTGTAGAGTTCCAGGCATATTGTAGCTGTACGCCTGTGTAAACCGAGATGTGGGACACTGTTTTTTTGGTGTTGCAGGTGCTTATGAAGTGCCTGGCAGTGTTACAGGAGTTACCCGGAGTGTTTAGACAGAAACGCTCTGTGCCTGTGCAGGAGTCACTGCAGCACATGGTAGCATGTATGACCTACTATATGGCCAAGGTACCAATACCAGTCTGTGTCCTTCTCTTTAGTGAGCCTTTTCAGTCAGCCAATCGAGTAATATTTTAAAGCATATCTTCTCATATTCTCATATTACAGTAGGTTACAGGGTGACCATAACAGCTGCTAATAATTACTATATTCTCATACAGTAATACAATGAGCATCTCATTGAAAGTTTTTTAACTCTTTTGACTTACATCCATAAATTAGACATGTAATCAATGAATTTTGAGCAATTCAAAGCAGTGAAGTCTTATGCATTGCCTCATTATTGGAGTTTTTAGTTGCTAAATTTACTATATCTGGGAAATCTCTGAGCCTCTCTTTGATTGGACTGTTATTTCTTTACAGTATGTTAAGTAAATCTTCCTGAAATGGTTCTTAAACCTGATTTCATGGAAGGGCTAAGAAAGGAGCTGCTTTCAAACTTTTGGGACTTTGGGTATTGAAGAAATAAAGGTGGTTAGATGGATCAGCACGGACAGTTTAAAAAAAAACTTTGAAAAGGAAAACTATGAAGAAAGAAAGACTGACCCCATGGCTGTGTGTGTGGATGCCCTTCAGGTGCTGCGGTCTTGTCAGGAGTACCGCTTGGCCTCAGCAGTGATTGACATGGGGAAGAAGTTATTGCTGGAGTCCACAGAGAGCAGCGGGTCCACCCTGGGGGTGCAGAATAAACCCCCCATTGCTGAGGAACAGGGGGTACAGTCTCCCTCGTGCTCCTTCCTTTCTCTCTCTCCTCTACACAACCCCCTAACGGGTGGACCTTCTTTGTTTAATTGTAGCCATTGCCTACTTTCCAGGATGGAATGCAGTCTTCCTGTCTCACACTGCCTTTTGCTCATTCTAGCAGTAGTTCATGTAGTTTTTTTCATTTAACCATCTTTATAATCATTAGGTGCTATTTAAACACGTCTCACCCATCTTTAATGATAAATGCTAAATGGCACAGCTGTGTAAGGAAATAGAACTTGCATGTTTGCATGTACATGACTGTATTATAGGATGTAATTGTTCTCTAAATCATTCTCTAACTCATGCTAGACTGAAGGAGTGTTGACTTAAACATGATATGCTCTGGATAAGAGTGTAACCGCAATACCCACAGGCTCAGAGGGAGAGATCACAGAAGAGGCCAGCAGCAATGCAGCCCGAAGAGGAGATGAACGAACAGCTGAAGGCCCTGGAGGCCAGCGTACTGAAGACCAGGAGACTGGGCACCATCCTGCACCAAGATACTAACAGCTGGAACAAAGGTGACAGTGCCTCCTCACACCTGTACAGAGCACTGCTCTTCCACATTAAAAAAAAAAAACTTGTACTTGTTCCAATTGTGGTCTTCAATATCATGGAAGGACCATTAATGATAATTAAAAATACTTTATGAGTTTTTCGAACAGGTTGGCAGAGTGGTGCAGCGGATAGCATTACTGCCTCACAATGCTGGAGTCCTGGGGTGCTTGCTTGCTATCAGTGTAAAGTTTGTACTGTATGTTCTCCCTGTGTTTGGGTGGGTTTCATCTAGGTGCTCCAGGTTCCTCCTACAGTCCAAAGACATACTGGTAGGTTAATTGGCTCCTGGGAAAATTGGCCCTGGTGCGAGTGTGTGCGTGTCTGTGTTTGTGTCTGTGTGTGCCCTGCGATGGACTGGCATCCTGCCCAAGGTGTATCCCACCTTATGCCCTGGTTGCTTATCAGGATAGGCTCTAGGTCCCCCGCAAACCTGAATTGGATTAAGTAGTTAGAAAATGAATGAATAGATGGATATGCTTTTGAAATTCAACATCTTTAAATAAGATTTCTTGAAATATACAGACTTACTCTTTTATAATCTATGTTGTTATTTTAAGTAAATATGCTCTTGTCTGATACATATGGTATTTCAGTGTAGCTTACACGTGGACTGGTCAGACCTACTGTATATCCTAGAATATAGTTTTGGGACAATTTGGGATGTATAAATGATAAAAGACCCTAAAAGCCTATGTCTTGTGTTAGTTGCCTTCACAGCTGTACAAGAGCTTGCACAAAAATAATTTCTTAAAAATATTACTATTATTGATATGTATACAATTTAGACTACAGCGTAGTAGCAATGAGTAGATTTTGGAGAAATCTATATTTTTATTCTTAAATACTTCTCGTGGTGTAATTTGTGTTCATTTTTCTATAAAAGAATGTTGTACTTTCTGTGACTTTTAACCCTGTCCTACAATAACCTTTATTGATCTCCAGGAGTTCTAGAGCTGACAGGCCAGGAAGAGCCCTCAGTCCTGTACTCTGTCATTGCCACCTATCAGCTGAAGTCTGCCTACAAAGAAGGTACAAGGGGATCCTGT